CCCGGCCCGCCGGAGCCCGGGCGGAAACACTCACCCGCGGGCAGAAGAGGCGCCCGCAGCTCCGGCCTCGCTTCCCTTTGTCCCGCGCAGGCCCCGCCCCCCGCGCGCGGAGCGAGCTTCGGCATCCGCACTTTCCACACACGCGTCCTAATTCCTCCTCGGGCGCCGCCGGCCGGCTTTGGGGAAAGAAAAAACCTCCTCAGGAGGACGCCTGAGGCTTCCTGCGGTCAAGGTTTTTTTTTCAGGTCCTCTTTGTCCCGCCGGACCTCCCGAGTGTGGTGCCTTTCCGTGCGGCGCAGATTCGTCACGGCGGGAGAGGGAGGGGGACGCCCGCCCGGGAGGCCTGCGTGCGGCGGCGTGAAGGGGGCGGGGCGGCGGCGGCGGGACGTGCGAGGCGGCAGAGGGCGCGGTGGCCTTGGCTCCGCGCGCGGGTCCGGAAGACGGCGGGGGTCGCCGGGGCAGGCGGAGGCTCCGGAGGCCCCGGAACCACAGTGGCCGCGCGGGCCAGGCTCGGGTCGCGCCAGCTCCGCCATCCCCCCCCTCGAGGCCGCCAGGTCATTTTCTAAGCGAGCGGAGTTGAGGGAAGCGCGGTGTCCGCCCCCACGGGCGCCCCTCGGGCTTCCTGCCTTAACGACACGGGCTTTTCCCGTTTTCCCAGGGTCCAATCTGTTGCGATTGCCGCTGGTTTCCGAGCCGCGGCCCAGCGGTGTGTGAATCCCCTGGGTTGGGTGCCCTTGCGGAGTGGAGGTGCCGCTGGTCTCTGGTCTCTGCCCAACGTGGTCTTGGCTCATTGGGTTCCCATCGACGGCAATGCCAGGCCCCACGCTTCAGGTTAAACTCATCTGTCCTTTTGGATCCTGCTCACAGGTCCCTTTCTGATGCCCTCCTGATCCCCTAACCTCCACGGGCAATAATCCTTCCTCTCAAATCCATGGTTCTTTGACATCTTTGTTGTAGTCGGTACCTGATCCAAGGTGTTTGTCCTCGTTGATGCATGGTGAGGAAGGGCCCGGCATCTGCATGGGTCATCTTCACGTTGCCAGTGTCTACTAAGGCTTGACCCATTGTTGGATGCTCAGTGCATGTGTGTGGAGATGAGGCCCAAAGTTAGCTTAGGGTGGGCTAGGGCCTAAGTGTGTGAGGGAAACTGGACAAGGCTTGTAGTGATTTGCACACAAACATTCTTTCAAAATGTTTTTTTGTAATACTAGAGGCCTCTAAAAAATACACACACACACACACACACACACACACACACACACACACTGAGTGGCCAGATTATTATGCGTTCAGAGATCATAATAATCTTGTCACTCAGTGTAATTTTGTCCCGACCCGCGGGGCAACAACGGGGGTACGCAGGAACCACCTAAGAGAATGAAACTAACAAGAAACACGAAGAAGGGAGGCAAGACAAAGTTCTCTGATCAAGCCTCGACTTTATTTTTTGAAATGGCTGTATAGATACAGCAGAAACAAAGGGGGGCAGGGTTGTCTATGCAGAGGGGTCTTTGGCAGTGTACAATTGGTTTAGGCACTGAGTGGCAAGGTGGTAAGGTATCTGGCAACATAGGATTGGCTAACTGCCAGGGCTGCGTAACATTCCAGGGTGTAACATTCCAAGGCTGGGCTATCTATGGGGGAGGATCAGGAAGGGGAAGTTGCAGAGATGCTAAGCAGCAGGTTAATCTTATCTTCTGGCCAAACCCTCAGGGCACCGCATAACTTCTGCTAGAAGGAACTTAATTCAATTTCCTTAAGACGAAGTTGCTTGTGTCTCAACTCTGATGGCTCCCAACATAATTTCAAGCAACTGCGAGGCAGGCGATGTTCCTAAATACCATCTCCCCGCCCACCCCCCTTTTTTTTTCCGTGTGAAAATTGAGGCTAAGAAATGATAGTAATTCCTTCCTGGTTACATGATAATTAGTGACAGTGCCAGGCAGGGTAGGGACACTACAATTGTTAGTAATTGGAATTATTCTTCATTTTTGTATTTTGTTATAAAAGCGTACATTTTAATTATGCCCAAATAATGGAAGAATATTAATTTATTTTATCTACAAAATGTGAGTACCGTATTTTCCAGTGTATAAGACGACTTTTGAAACGAAAAAAAGTCAACGAAAATAGGGAGTTGTCTTATACGCCGAGTATAATATATTCCGAAAAAACGTCTCGATATGCCGCTAAACGAATTTTCCAACTCGATCCCGCACCAATCACTGCAAGGCTGCTCGGACCCCTCTCTAACTCAGCCAATCCAAGCAGGTTTTTATGCATGCAAATTATACATGTTCTGTACCCGAAGCTACACTGTGTTCTAGCAAAAAGCGAATATAGGCCTAAACCTATGTTTTATCTGTAAAATTAGGAATCGTCTTATATGCCGGAAAATACGGTAACATTATACATCTTGTAGGATCGTTGTAAGGATTAGTGATTATGTACAAGCTCTCTGAGTGCAGTATGAGGAGCAGTGAGCATTTTGTAAATTGTGGCTGTTATAGGATTATGGGATTATTTTGATTTTTTAACTAGAATATACTATTCATATTTTTTTCTTTTGTTAAAAAATTACAGCCTAGCCGGAACCGGTTTGGCTCAGTGGATAGAGCGTTGGCCTGCGGACTGAAAGGTCCCAGGTTCGATTCTGATCAAGGACATGTACCTTGGTTGCGGGCACATCCCCAGTAGGAGGTGTGCAAGAGGCGGCTGATCGATGATTTTCTCTCATCGATGTTTCTAACTCTCCCTCTCTCTTCTTCTCTGTGAAAAATCAATAAAATATATTTAAAAAATAAATAAATGAGTGCCATATTTAAAAAGAAAAAACAAAACAAAACAACAACAACAAAAACAACTACAACCTGGTTGGCATGGCTCAGTGGTTGAGTGTCGACCTATGAATCAGGAGGTCAGGGGATATTCCCGGGTTGCAGGCTTGATCCCCAGTGTGGGGCGTGTAGGGGGTAGCCGATCAATGATTCTCATCATTGATATTGCCATCTCTCTCTCTCCCTTTTTGAAGCAAAATAACATATATGTAAATAATATATATATATACTATAAAAGAAATTCTCTCTCCGCCATGGTTATTGTTTTGTCATTCAAAACAAATTCAACACAATGTCTCAAACTCAAACACAATGCAGGTTTAGAGTTCATGTTTCAGTTTTATAATTTTTATTCTAGTGGTATCATTTACTTTGGTAAATTCATATCCCAATTTAAAATGCCCCAAAGCAAATAAAACTTTGTTATAAATTCAAACACTGTATTTTAAAATATACGCTACACACAATAGCTGCATAGTGGAATTACTATTATAAGCAATTACATTTGTGATGCCCACTATTAAGTTTTTACACTGCATATCACTTACACTAGATATATTGTATTATGATTACTGTTGCTTAATACAGTAACTTTAGTACAATAGCTTATATGACTGCATTTTCAAAGCTTTAATGAAGTTAGTAGCTTTTAACTGATATTAAATTAAACACTTTTACATATAGCATGTATTTTAGGTTAGATGCTTATGCAAGAATAAGCACTTAACATGCTATTGTATCTGTAGACAACAAAATTATTCCTTTCACAAAATAGAATAAGCAGCGCTTAAAGAAATCTGAAGTAACTGAAATAAAATTTTAACTATATCCCTGTATTATGTTAAAGATTAATTTTCTTCTGGTTAAAACATACCTTTTTGTTGTTGTTGAAATAGAGGAGAGAAAGAGAAATTTACGCAGAGAGAGGGAGAGACAAAGGTTTCGGTTGAAAAGGCTGTACTAAAATGCTAACATAGCTATAGCCCTTGGATAATTCTTTAGTTGGGAAAAAAGTATGGTGAGTGATACATAACATATTTCCTGTTTAGAAAAAAATTAATAGCCTATAACTTTCTAATGTTTAAAACAGGTACTTTTAAAATTTAAGGTCTTAAAAGAAATATACCTGTATTAAACAAATTAGGTTGCTTAAAAAACTTTGCAACACTACTTACTCATAAATATATTTTTGATCCATATTTATTACACTTTGAACAATTTAAAAACATAAATCCTGAAAATACTCATAGCTTAGATAATAATACTGTTATCTTAATTCACACAAATGATTGCAGGAAATACTATATATAATATTTTACCTAATACACCAAATACTCCCATTAATCACATTTAACTTTACAAATGGAACAATTGGGATGGGGAGAGGTTGGATAATTGTTCGAGAAATTGTAGTAATCAGCTTTTCATATTTTGTGCAACTGGCCTCTTTTTTGCTGTTGATAGAGGACAATTTTAAAATTCTTTGAATAAAGTAACCCTTCTGGAAATCACATAATGACTATAAAACACTTTGAGATGAAGGTTAATTTTATTTAATCAAATTAGAACTGGGCTATGTTCTATACTTTGCTCAGAACTGCTCATGGAAAGCAACTGTTACTTTTCTAAGTGGCAAATGATTGTCTCAAAAGGAACATTTTTGGTTAAGAGAATAGAGAGTCCTCTTTAAAAGTTGTATCAATGTTTTCTTTTTCAATTAGAAAAATCTTTGTAGCTATAACCAGTCATAGAAGCATGATGAATTACTCAGTATGATTCTTACCATAATACAATCCCATTTAAATAAACCACTCCCTTTTCCTTAGAGTATTCAGGCAAAGATTTTGTCAAAGATTTTACTAAGCCGCTAATGCTTACCATCTCTGATAAAATTTCAAGGGATCAAAAACGATTATTTGGAGGATAAATAAAATAGAAATCATACTGAATTTCTGATTTTATTTGTACTTTCTCTTTCCAAAAAATATATCCATAGTTAAATTCAGAGAAATTTTGCCCCTTACCATCCCCCACTCCAAGAGAATCATACATCAATCATAACATTCATACTTAAACTTCCATTTGGGACAGAAGGTGGTCAGCACGGCCCACCTTGGTCCATCCTAATGTCATTTTCAAATCAAGTCAAATACTGTCTTTGGGTTAATGAGCTGCTGATGGAGATTTGATAGAGGGAATACTGCATGATCTCCTCATGATAAGCCTGACTTCTATATCTGGTAGATTATCCTGTTTAGTCTGTAAACACCCTTCATCCGTGGCTGCTAAATGAAGATCGAAGCGAAGAGAAACAGATTTTTTCCTTAACCGAGGGTTATCTTTAAAGAAGGAACCTTCCCATTCTTTAATAACTTCATCCACTTTCTCTGTCCTGAAATGATAAAATAAACCTTTCTATATGAAGATGTATAGAAAAAAAATATGTAATATATATTCCATATGAAAAAGAAATCAAGAAGCTTGTATGATTTATAATTTACATTTTAAATTTTACAATGTACATCATGATATTGATAATTTATATACTTAAAAAAATCACAAAACTATAATTTCAAGGAATTTTATGGAATGCTCCTGGGTTGCTATATTAAAAAAAAAAAAAAGGTGAATTAAGAATTGAGCATTCCTTTATCTGAATTTTCGTTTCTATATGCTTACTCATGTCAGATTAAAAATCACAGCAAATTAAAATTAGGTTTGGAAACATTCAAAGATTACTGAGATTATTCGATTGAAGTTAATTTCTTTACACGTTTATTTCTTAAGTCAGAGTTACTTTACTTACTGAATAGTACCATGAGCTTCAGTGCTCTCCTTCACAACATTTCCATTTAATATTGCCTGTTTGGTCACTGTTTCCACTTTTTCATTCTCACACTTTTGTGGGACTTTTGTTGAAAAGGAGATTTCATTTATAATGGCTGTGAAAGTTTTATTTATGAAACATTAAATTATAATGTTGAAGTATCAATCACAGTCAACTCACATGTTAAAATTTATGTAACTATTGCTTATTTTTGCTACATTAGCATTTTCAATTTATTTATAATCCCTACAAAATGGCACTTTGCTTTTCAAGTTAATTTACTTTATATCAGAAACTCACCTGAAGGTAAAACAAAACCAACTCTACTTGTAGGTTTTTTCTCCTTTTTTCCTCCTTGGATACAACCATAATATCTGAAATTGGAAAGAAGTATATTATAGGAGCAACAAAGTATTAGCAGACAATGGAAACAAATGCTCACTGATATGAGAATGGATACATTGTAAAATATCCATCCAACAGAAATACTCTTTAGCAGTGAAAATAAATGAACTCAGGGTACAATGTATCTTTATGGATGAATCTCCCAAGTACAACATTGAGTGAAAAAAAGAGTAAGTTTATAAAGGTTAAAATAGTATGCAAAACAATTTCATATTTTGGTTAGGGATACAAACATATTCTTATAATAAGCATCAAATTCGGAAGTCAGGTTAGATTGAGGGAGGAGGATGAGATTGGGGGGATGTGGTTTAGGTGTTGGGGATGAGGAGTGGAACAGACTTCAACAACATTGTGTATGTCTCACTGAGCTGGGCGAAGATGAGATGTACTGCAACTATGCGAGTTCATTACATCTTTCTTGATACTTTCTTATATATATTAAATATGGTATAATAAAATTATAGTACAGAAATATTAAAGGCCAGGTTACCAATATTTTGAAGAATTAGGAATTAATTAAAATTTACAACCTTTTATTTTATTTAATAATAATTTATATGTATCCTATATAATAAAGAGGTAATATGCAAATTGATTGTCACATCCTCACACAGAGATAGCTGCCCCTGTGTGATCACAAGATGGCCACCACAAGATGGCCAGCAGGGGAGGGCAGTTGGGGGCGATTGGGCTGGCAGGCAGAAGTGGTTAGGGGCAATCAGGCAGGCAGGCAGGCAGGCAGGCAGGTGAGCAGTTGGGAGCCAGCAGTCCCAGAATGTGAGAGGGATGTCCAACTACTGGTAGTCGGACATCCCCCAAGGGGTCCCTGATTGGAGAGGGTGCAGACTAGGCTGAGGGAGAGCCCCTTCTTTACCCCCCTAGTACATGAATTTCATGCACCGGCCTCTAATATTTACATAATACTATTTTAAGCCCTTTACAAACATTAATTTGTTTAATTTTCACAGCAATGCTATGAAGTAGATAATATTGTTCCCATTTTAGAGATGAGAAAACTGATGCACAGAGAGGGTTAGTAAGCTGCCTGGCTTCACTCTGCTAGTAAGTGGTATATTTTGAATTTAACTTATGTTTTTCAAAGATTTAGTGTCAAGACATTATAGGTTAAAGCAGTTTCATCTAGTTTTATAGATGTCTCAGAATTCTGAAGCAAGCAAGAATAATGGTTTCTTTTTAAAGAAGTGGTATTTATATACAGTGAAATATTACTCATCCATAAAAATAAAATGAAATCTTGCCACCTGACAAAATGGCAAGAAAGACAAATGCCATATGATTTCTTATATGTGGAATCTAACAAGCAAAACAATGAACAAGCAAACCAGAAACAGATCATGGATTCAGAGAACATTTTGATGGATGCCCATGTAAGAGGGCTGGAGCTATGGGATGAGGAAGTACAAAGTGGTAGTTATAGCATAGTCACGGGATGTACAGTACAGTATAGGAAATATAGTCAATAATATTGTAATTACTGTACATGATGTCAGATTTATTAGGTGATTTTTAAACGTGATATACATGTTAATCACTGGGTTGTATGTCTGAAACTAATATATTGTATGTTGACGGTACTTGGAAATTAAAAACAAACATATTTAATCAAGTTAACTGCCACACATCCAAAATGGAAACCATCCCCACACAACAGTGATGCTTACAGCGTACAAAGGGTTAAAAAAAAAAAAAAAAAGAATAGTTGTGTTTTGATGGGAACATGCAAAATTGGAGGTTGTGCTGTGCTGAAAGCCATATGACCTTATAAGTGATTGCAGATTATGAAATTGTTTGAATCAATAAGAATTCCTCTTGGGTACCTTTGTTATCAGGACATCTGGAAGTCTTCTAAATCATATACTCCAAACACCATTGCTTTCCACGGTTGTAATATTTTGGTATTTGATGTGTGGTGGAGTGGGCCCTTGTGTGTGTGGGGGGATGTGATAGTAAGAGTTTTCCAAACTTTCTTTGTGGGCGGACCGTATAAGGCAATGACGAATTTCTAAAAGGTTTGCGTGGCAAGGAAAGGAAGAAAGTTTAGAAAGGTCATTTTTGTATTGCTTGGCAATTCTTTGCATTTTGTTCTGGTCTTCCTGTGCTCCTGTTGTAGCTCAGGCCCCTGACTTTGGTTATTTTGCCTGTGATTTGTGGAGGCTGGCAATACTCATATTCTTTGCAGTGCGCGCTGCTCCTATTGAATTGTAGAAACTCAGGGGTACTGCCAGGGAGATGATTTCTTTAGATTTAATTTCTCTGATTACGTCATCAGTGACGTACGTGGCTCTGCATTCCCGACCACATGTCACAAACCGTATGGGACCAGGTACCTGATTTCTTCCTTTTCCAGGAGGCGGCGGTACGTTGCTATTTCTTGTTCTAGCCTCATCTTCGTGTTGAGGAGCATCTCATGCTCCTGCAGCTGCTTCTCGATGCCGCACCTTACTTCCTGCAGCTCTCTCTCCAGGCCTTCAATCACGGCCTCCAGGTCTTGCAGCTGCGTCTGGTAATGCTGCTCACTGGCCTGCAGGGAGTTTTCGAGGCCCCGTTCCTATTTTAGATAGATCTTCATCAGTGATCAGTGGAACACAGTGAGTTTCTGAAATCTGATATGCAATGTCTTCATTCTCGTGTGTTTTTTCTTTCTTTCTTTCTTTTTTTAAAAGGTTGTAATAATTCTATAGCACTTAAATGAGAGGTATAGTTTGGCTTAGTAGATAAAGCATCGGCCTGCGGAATGAAGGGTCCCAGGTCCAATTCTGGTCAAGGGCACATGCCTAAGTTGCGGGCACGATCCTCAGTAGAGGGTGTGCAGGAGGCAGCCAATCAATGATTCTCTCTCATCATTGATGTTTCTCCCTCTCCCTTCCTCTCTGAAATCAATAAAAATATATTAAGTGAGAGGTTTATGTATGGTCCAAATATTTTAAAAAAATATTTTATATGTATCTAGAGAGCCTACTATTTCAAAGAGATCCTCTGATAATTTATGTGGTCAAATAATCCTATCTAATAAAGAGGGGATATATTATACTAATTGACCCTTACGCTGGCGCAAAGATGGTGGTGCCCACAGCTAATAAGGGGGGGGGGATATGCTAATTGACTGCCCCACCCTCAAAGATGGCGGCGCCCACAGCCACAAGATGGCAGTGCCCAGTTCTCTCAGCCCAACCGGGGCAGTAGGCATGCCTGTCTTTGGAGTCCCCCAGCCCCCTTAATCCCCCAGCTACCCAGGGCCAGACCGAGGGGCAGGCAAGCCTTGGATGGTAGCTGCCCAGCTAACCAGGGCTGCAGGGTTGGCTGAGGCTTGCATTGCCGGTAATGGTAGTAGCAGAAGTGTGATGGGGTGTCGCCTTCCCCTGATCACCATATAGCCTCCTGCCCCTGAGGGCTCCTGGACTGTGAGAGGGGGCAGGTCGGGCTGAGGAATTCCCCCCACCTCCAGTGCATGAACTGTCATGCACCGAGCCTCTAGTAATAATAACAATAACTATGAACCAGGAGGTCAATGGTTCGATTCCAGGTCAGGGGCACATACCGGGTGAGCTCGGTCCCCAGGGTAGGGTGTGCAGGAGGCAGCTGACAAATGATTCTCTCTCATCATTGTTGTTTCTGTCTCTCTCTCTCCCTCTCCCTTCCTCTCTGAAATCAATAAAAAATTTTTAAAGAAAGAATAAGAATTCTGCAGTGCGATGAACTTCTCATTCTTTTTTAAGTGTTAAAAATATAGACTATTAAATAACAAAGCCAAAGCAGAATGCATATAAAAAGCATTTTAGGAAAGTGTTTAAATATTTTCTTATTAGACATCTCAAAAGTATGGACTCTCTGCGGTGGTGACTTTGGATAATGACAAGAGCTCTATTCCTTCACTCAACAATTAGAGAACCACAGGGCAATAAGCAAGGCTCACTCAATTTGTATCGGGCAAACTAAACCTTGAGGGAAGGAGGGAAAGGGGTCGTTAAACTAGGACCTGGGGTAGAATTCAGTGGCCTTGATTTCTTGTTTACAGTGAGTTTCTCACTGTAAGGTAATGGGGTCCGTCTCTTCCCCCCATCCCCCCCGCCACCTCCTTAATCAAGTAGCATCTGGGGACTCCATGGGCCAGTTGCTTTGGAGACCAGGCTTACCACAGCATGGAGAGATTCAATTTCCACTTGCAGGTGGTGCCACTGGCGCCGGGCTTCCTTGAGTTCTGCTTGAGCTGCCCTCAAAGCCTCTTCATCTTTGTCCATCTTTTTGCTCAGATCTTCCTCCAGCTAGAAGAGAGCCAACAACAACAATAACAGGAAAAGAAAGGGCACTCTTGAGAGTGAGACGTTTAAGAGCAATGATAGAAAAATGGCGTGGGAATCGAATCATTGTTTTCTTTAAGTTGTTGGATTGTAAGTGAATGTTTTAGTGCTTCGTTACGAATCATTTAAATGTCTGAGCAAGTCCATTGCACTCTCAGCCTCAGTTTTTTCAGATGTAAACGAACCTCAAAAATCTCTTCCTGCAGTGGCAGTCTATGAAATGCAGGAAAAAAATACACCCATTTTAATATAGAGTAACAGTTTACAGGACCTACTTTTGAGGCCTCTGATTCTTAACTTTCCAGAATTTATGGCATTAATAAGGAATAACGATTGAAATTAGCTACTATTTCCCCCATATTTTCTTGTTGATTGCTTTATCAAAGCAGATAAACTGTTATATAACCTAAATTAATCAAGTATTGGACTGGATACATAGATAGGGAATAAATATTGCTGGAAAGTATATTATGAATAATTTAGAGCAGTTATCACAGGCATTAGAAACTCTAAAATAGATTCCAGTATTAAGCTCACCCACTATTGATTTATCTTTTTTAATATGGTCTTTTAGAAGGCATGCTAATTTTGTCTATCTACAGTAGCAGCAAAAAAATGACTTCCTTAAAAACTGTTTTCTAAATGTCCTCATACGAAATAACAAACAGATTATTGTATAGTTAGCTTTAAATGTTCTTATACTGATGTTGAAAGTCAACGAAAGTCTCTTTTGACTGGATTCTGAACATTTGGCCCCACGAGCAGTATTAGCAGTGTATGAAATTGCTTGTAATATTTTTAAGCAAAAGTTACTACCTTTTTAAGTTTTTATAAAAATGCATTTCAAAATTAAAAAAATGTACTATGATGGTGCAACAGATTTTATAAAGAAGGAAACACGGCAGTACATGCAAGTGTGTAATGAAGTTTAGGGCAAAGTATCATATGCCATTTATATGTTTCTTTTGATTTGTTGTTCTCAGTATTGTTGGCAAAAGCAAGCAGCATCAGAGCAGCTACCAAAGAAAGTGTTGAGCATTTAGGAGCTAGGAGTTCATGAAAACGATGGTATTCGTTGGTCTTTTGGATTTTGGGATGGACAGCGAAGCTTGGATAGTAGCTAGATTCTGAAGATGGCCTGCAATGGGCCACCCGTCCCCAAAGGGATGTCTTTGTGTGGTGGCCTTCCACATTGCATCTGGGCTGACCTATGCCTTGCTTTAGCCCGTAGAAGGTGGCAGAAGTGCCAGTTTTAGGCCTAAGTCCTGACACCTTGCACTTCTATGCTTTTGGAGCAGCATGTAGGAAATCTGCATACTCTGTTGTTAGAGGGATCCTATAGAGAGGCCAGACGGAGATACCCCGAGGCTGCATGGAGAGAGAGAGAAACATTTGTCTCTGCTGAGCCAGCCTTTCAAAAACCCCGAGGTGCCAGGTCCATGAATGAGCCACCTTGGATGACCCAGCCCAGTTGTGCCCCAAGATGATTGCAGTCTCAGCCAATGTCATGCACAGTTGAAGTCACCCCCAATGAACCTAGGCAAGCCACTGAATCGTGAGAGGGAACACAATGCTTTCTTTAAGTTTTGGGGTAGTTTTTGTATAGTAATAAGTAACTGAAATAGCTCCCTATTGTGTAATAATTAAACAGGCTTTCTTGCATTTATTTTAGCTGATTCTGAATTCTTTGAAAACAATCCCCTAAGGTAGATATGTTAAAAAGACTAACCGAAATGTACTGTATGCAGTCTTGCTTTTTGACTGTAGCTTGTAAAGTAAATAACTTGTATTTTTACTAATGCAAAAAAAACCCTGTTTATTAGGTTTATAATTTTCAGAAATTGTCATTAAAATTAATTGTCACCCCCCCTTTCTTTGTAAAAGGTGAACGAACTATTCCAACAGTTAAATATCCCAGTGACTCTGCTTAATCCAGGATACTGATCATTCTTTATGAAGACTGGCAATGTTATCCAGAGGTAAAACTTATAATATTACTAAAATCGAATAGCTAATGGAGTAAAGTCACATGATTTCCCAGCAATACTTTCCCCACTTTTTGTGATGTTCTTAAGTAAATTTCTTACAGTATGTGGGTGCTCAGAATAGGACTTGAACTCAGATATGGTAGGTAAACTAAAAAAAAAGAAAAAAAATTCTTGAATTTCTGAATGATTTCTAAAATATTTGTTTGTACCTTTGTTTAAAGATTTGAGACCCCAATTAATTGCTAAAGGTGTTTGTCACTTTAAAACAAAGTAAGTCTATAAAACTAGAATTTAACCCTTATTTAACTTGGCTCTCTCTTGTTTTTAAAACTTAAATATAGCATGCCTAAATATTGGAAATATACATTCTCATCTTATATCACAAAAGCAAAAAGCTATAATATAAGTGGAGAATCTATCAATTGGTTGTGGTGGAGTGGGGGGTTGATTGTCCCGATTTATATCAGAATTGTTCTGAATGCCCTGTTCTAATGCCCAGATGATTTCTATTTATAACGATCTGGAATAAAACTGAACTCATTACAAATATCTAGAAATATTTTACTTAGTTTTCCTCAACAAAGTGTGCACGCTAATAAATCTTACTACAAAGCTTGCCATTTTAAAGATGTCATTGAAATTATCTCTATAAATAACTCTATATTATCTTTGAAGGATATTTGAAATGCTTCCTTCTTGGAGGATGTCAAGAGAAGTTCAAGTGCACCATTTTATTGTATATCGACCCCATGGGTTATTAATAATCATTACCTCATAATTTACATAAAAAAATGAAATGCATCAATCAACACTTATTTCATGGTCACTTAACAGTATAATCACAGCATTTCCCCCTGTTAGTCCCCGTCACATTGCCGTAAAACCGAAATTCCTTCCCCAGTAGATGCTGCATTGAAAAGGAAATACTGTACCTCAGAGAGGCCGGGACAGGAATTGGCTAGACATGGATTGTCTCCTTATCCTGCAGGGTGTCTGTCTGTATGAAATCATTACCTGGATCCTTGTTGAGAGCACGGTCTCTATCTGATTTCTGGTGAGGAGCTGTTCATAGTTTGCCCTGATCTCATTGAGTAGCTGGGACAGCTCCATTCTTTTCCCATCCTCCACCTTGGCTAACTGAACCTTATCGATAGGATGAGTCGCTGCAGCAGCAGAGCTGTTCTGTCTGCCTCGCAGCCCAGAGCCCAGTGGAGCCTTAAAGACACAGAGCTCCTTTTTTTTTTTTCACAAGCCATGGAAATTCCCGTGTTCCTATTTAATTATGCAAATATTTGGCAAACCCTTTTCTCCTGTTGTTGGTATAGTAGAAATGTCAGAAAAACAACAGCAACAAAAATGAAAACATCCTCATTAAAATGGTTCTCTGTAAAACTGAGTACTTTTTTGGGGAGAGAAAAAAGGAAAGGTAATGTATCTCATGGGAATGAAACCAGGCATACTAGAAGGACAATGATAGTTTGTTTTCCCAAGAGGTTGCATGGAAATAAATCTGAGTCCAAAACATGATAGCTGAATTTTCTTTTACAGTTTTGCGCACCATTTGAGTTCCCTAAAAAAGTGCTGTGGTAGGGCATTGGGATAGGGTGTAAGTCTTGGGCATCCTGACAGTTATTGGAGAAAGTCACCATCAGATTCAGTGGACAGTTGTCATTTGCCATAGGTCTGATTGATTGTATTTCTCTCAGATGCATACGGTGTGGCTCATGTGGGGCTGCTGGCCTGACAGTGGGTTTGATGTGCTGATGTGAATTGCTGAAGGCACATTACAGATGAAACCACGTGAGAGGTAAGTGCTAGCAGAGTATCAGAGCTGAGAGCTAACACTTGCCCCATTTCAACAAGGTTGAGAAAGGTACCACCAGCTATTCCCGGACAGGGGGTATTCACTAAGGTCGGATTCATTATGCGGTTGCTCCTTCAATAGTCAACACGGAGTTAATGACAGCTCATGCTCATAAATATAACATTTGTGTAGCTCTTCGAACTTTAAAAAGCACCTTTCCGTTTATCATTGCGTCCAATCTTCACCTCCCTGTCATTTTTGTGCCAATAAAGACTGAGGCAGGAAGGGTTCAAGTGTCTTGCCCAAGGTCACGTGGTGATGACATGGCATGGTTGGGACTGGGACTTTGATTGGTTGGTTGGGTTCCGTATATTGCTTCCCCTGTCTCTGCATTCTCCCTCTCCCTGCCTAAATTTCTTGTTTAAGCTGGCCAGCTAGTTGCTAGATGTGACTGAAATGTCTTTGAGACTATATCTGTTGTTATTGTTCTTTGTAGAATGGCTTGGTTGAAATTGTATCTGGAGCATCGTTCAGGAAATAGTCCTCGGCTCTCCCACTCACAGGACCTTTAAATGTGCATGCATCATGCTCTCTCAATTTTTGAATTAACTCACTACTGGCCAGCCCACCCTGTGCCATGCATTCCCACAGTCCTCTCCAAACAAAGCTGGTCATTTACAGCCCCTGCTCAGAGGAGGTTCCAGATCATTCCTGTACTCTGTTTAACCTGACCCATGCCCCCTTCACAAGGATTGGTCTAGGGATGAACACCTGACTCAAGGACAGCCAGTCCATAGGTCAGAGACCTGTGATATCCACGATACAAAAGCTGACTTGGGAGGGCCACTTATGATTATCTAGGCCAAACTGATTCTCTTTCTTGGTAATTGCAAAGGAGAATTTACAGAATCGGGCACTTGGCAATGGGAGGAGAAGGAAGAAAGTAAATAATTATACTCTTGTTACTTTATGTAGTTCTTGCTAATCTCTGTCTAAAATACGGAGTGGAATTAGAATCCACAGAGAGCTGACAATTCCGGTATTTCTTATGCATTCTAAAACAGTGTTTTCCTATAAGAATATAATGCAAACCACACATGTGACTTTAAACTTTCTAGCAGCTGTATCAAGAGATAAAAACAGAAATAAGTGACATCAATTTTAATGGGTTTTACTAAACCTGATATATCCAAGATATTATTATTCAATGTATAGTCAATATAAAATATTCATGAGGTATTTTATATTCTCCCCTTTTGATACTATCATTGAAATCCAATGTGCGTTTTTATAGCTCATGCCAATTTGGATAAGCCACATTTGAAGTGTTCAATAGCCACTTGGCTAGTGGCTACCGTGTTGAATGGTGCAGCTCTAATGCTTTATCTGACCTATATCTAAAGTTATGATCAATTTTTATCCTAAAAAGCATATCAGACAGAACTGATGGCAACGCAAGTTTATATGAAATGGATTTCCCTTCCAGGCAATTGCAACTCTGAGTCTTTTGTCTTTGCATAGATATATCAACCAGTGCAGCTGATCTTTTAATTTTGGGGATAATCCTGTAGAGCCTGGGTATTCTTTTTTTAATTTATTTATTAAGTAATTTATCAGCTTAAGATACTGCGAGTTTCTTTTTAAGCCACTCATGCATTGTAATAGGCTTATAGTTGCATAATTGTACTTCACAATATTATTTTAAGCAATAGGCCTCTACTTTACTGGTTTGTCCCCTTTTTGTTATATTGTTGATTTTACTACTAATAGGAGCATGCCTCAACATGGTACAGTTTCATGTGTCAGTTAGGCATATAATTAGACACAGAGATTTGTGTTGGAATGTGTTATCAGCATTTCTCAGCATGTTCGAGGTGCATGAGCAATGGTTACATGCATTTCCATATGTCCCACACATGACATTTTATACAGAGTGATTAAGCAGAGTTGACGGTAGTACATATGCAGGCATGTTCTTGACAGATACCAAATTCATTCTTTGTAGCTGTAACTCAAGTAAGAAGTATGGCTATTTCCCTGATCAAGGACTTTGCCTTGGGTTCAATTTTCTCTGGCATCTTCCCTAGTGCTTCCCCTTCCTACCTTGTTCTTTGCAGCCCAACATACACAAAGAATGCTTCATGAGGGTGAATGTTACTAGAGGGTGAGGCCAGTTTAGGATCAAATGTATACAGTTTCGCTTTATTACAAATCAGATTATGCCCTGGACAGAGTGCTAAGTGGTTAGAACATCAGCCGAAATACCCAAGGGTTGTGGGTTTGATTTTCAGTGTCTTTCTCACGTTGATGTTTCTCTCTCTGGTCAAGGTCACGAACCTAGGTTGCAGGTTCAATCCCTGGCCCTGATCAGGATGCATGTGAAAGACAACCAATCCATGTGTCTCTCTTATATAGATGTTTCTCTCTCTCGGTCTCTCCCCCTCCCTTCTACTCTCGCTAAGAATCAATGGATGTTCTCTGGTGAGAATTAACAACATCAAGCCATCCCATTGCCCACACTGGCGAGATGAATGAGCCTCTTCCAGAAGCGCACTCTCCATATCCCATGTCCCTTTCTGCCTTCTGACGTCTCCACGATGCTCATGCTTCCTGAGCTTCTGCCGCCAGGGAAGAGCTCTCGGGTTTCCTCTGGGCGGGACTCAGCTCCCTGCAGCTGCTACTGGCGCATCTGGGTCTGTCTCCCCATCCTCCTCTCCCTTTCCTGCTTTCAGCTTCTCCGCCAGTCTCCAAGTGTCTGAGCACCTTCAGCTATATAGCTTTAAAAAAAAATTAATTTTTTTAAATTGATTTTTACAGAGAGAAAGGGAGAGGGATAGAGAGTTAGAAACATTGATAAGATGAGAGAAAAACATCATCAGCTGCCTCCCACACAGGGGATGTGCCTGCAACTAAGGTACATGCCCTTGACCGGAATCGAACCTAGGACCCTTGAGTCCGCAGGCAAATGCTCTATCCACTGAGCCAAACCAGTTAGGGCTAGCTATATAGCTTTGAGACACTATGAGCATAGCTCATAGCACACTTACACTTGCATATCCACCTGGACTCCTTTCTAAGGAAGCCCGATGTATAAAATGGAGTCCCAGAAGTGGCACATTTAGGCTTTTCACAAAGACACATTTTACAGAAGAACTTTTAGCTGTACATTTTTTAAAAATTATATTTCCTCTCAGGCTTGGAAGAGGTGGTAATCCAACTTTGGCAGCTAAATGGTTGGCGTTTAAAATACACAGATTAACAAGTTTGATTTCCCCACAATCTTTAAGTGAGGTTCAAAATGCTGGGTAATTGTTTTCTCCTTAACTAGACTGTGAACGTCTCAAGGGCAGAGAGCGCATGTCTTATGTTTCTTTGAAACCTGCTCCAACTCCCACTAATTTACTGGGTTTCCCCACTAATCCCTTAGCCTTAACGCTTATTTAATGCCTTTGAACAAACAAATGAATATCAGAGGAGGTTATCTTCTACCAACTTTATATCTTCTCTTGAAAATGGGATGATGACTGTTAGAATTCTCTTAAAAATATGTTTTGAGTTCTGGAAATGTTCGTTGCAAAGCCTGGGTTTGTTTTGACTTTCTCATAACTCAGAAAGGAGTTGCTCTCTTAGGGATTACTGGTGAGTATTAGGTCAGCATGGTAATCTGTCTGTTGGGGAGTGGAGCTGTGTTCATATTAGAGACACTAATTCAGCATACTGGCAATTATTCAGTTTAATACAACTTAATTACATAGATCAGCGATGTTCAACCCTTTTCATCTCATTGCACACAAAGTAATTACTAAAATTCTGTGGCACACACAAAATTTTTTTTTTTTTTTTTTGCTGATCTGACAGAAAAATAGGTATAATTTTGATTCATTCACACTGGACAGTGATTATGTTGACTGTTGTCATTTTTTTTTTATTTGACAATCTAAGGAAAAGAACTCAGTTCCCTTGACTGAATGGTCAGGTATTGCATGTTTTAGAAATTCTTGCAGTACACAGGTTAAAAGTCATTGGCATAGATGATAACATTTGAACATGAATATAATACTTCCATTAAAGTGAATTGTTTTGAGCATTTGGAGAAAGCTGGAGTGTGTAGTTTTTACCCTCAAAAACCAATATCGTGCCCGGCTGGAGTGGCTCAGTGGATTGAGCATTGTCCCATGGATTAAGAGGTCCCAGGTTTGATTCCTGGTCAGGGCACATGCCCAAGTTGCAAGCTTGATCCCGTGTTGGGCATGCAGGAGGCAGCCAACTGCTGTGTCTCTCTCATCCATGTTTCTATCTCTCTCTC